TCTCCCAGCCTATGAAACTGAGGGCAAACACTGAGTGCTAGACCATCCGTACTGCCCCTTGCAAATGTTAGTACAAAACTGTGTTACAGCATAACAGGTGGGGTTTTTTTTTTTCCTTATCTGTCCATATAAAGAGCATCAGAACTTGCTTGTAAGTGGCCAGATTTTGCATGGCTGGGACCAACCAGCTTGACCTCTGTCTTCAGCCAGCTAGAGAATTCAGCCTCTCTGGATGCTGGTCCTGAGGGCAAGGTTATTTTTCTAGGCCCTCCCTACTTCTGCCTCTAGAGGTTATCCCCCTGCCAGGTTTCTAGATCTGCTATAAATGTTTCACAATGGGACAGGGAACCCAGAGTTGTGGGCCTCAGCTCCACCCTCAGGGGTAGACTTAATGTTGTATCTCCCCTCTGCTGTGTATCTCTCCGCACTGTGTCAGAAAGAAGTAGGCCAAAGAATAGCTATTCATTATAGATAGGTACCCAGGAATACCATGCCTGTAGGCAGCCACCAGCCTAACCTTTCCAACCATGAGTCTCAGAAAGCAATCAGCAAATCTCAGCTGGTACCACATTGCTTGTTTAGGGACATCTATAGTCTATGCTGACAATGAAGACAGAGATTGGATTCCATACATTCCAATTTAAAGACATGAGGCATCTACCCTATCTTGGGCATTGGATTATCCCTTGGAGTTATAGGGGTGACTGAGTTACAGCCCCTTGCTCTGCTTAGTAGAGGTAACCAGCCCTAAAGCAGGTAATTTCACATCGGGTGGTCCTTCCTAATTTGATCCCGCTTAAGAGCTGTTTGTGCCAAAACTGTGAATGAGACCAGAATGAGACTTACATTCTGCGACACTTGACAGCACAATACTTGGTCCTCTGTGGTCAACTTCAGCTCAAGGCAAGTTTCTACCTCCCTGCTTCCCACTAGAGCTCAGCTTAACTTCTCCCTCTACCCACCCTCCCCTTCCAGTCCCTCCAACTCTGTATCCTGCCTCCACTTCAGGTGTCTGGCTGTAAAAAGGCAATTGATATCTGTGGGAATACCCCAACAGCATTTTCAACCTTGGGACTAATCAAGAGAATTGAGCACTTGAACCACATTCCAATGATAGTGTATTTCTATTTCTTTTATCTGGCCTGTAGGCCAGCAGGGCAAGTTTCTGCAGGTTTCACTGTTAAGCTGCTTTCCCCTAGCCAGGCTGAAAAGCAGTCTGGGACAGAGCAAGAAGTAGATTAAATTAATCTCAGTGTTCTGAGCTTGGCAGGGAGTGAGATTGCATTTGGCCATTACAAAAATAGCCCCAAACTCCTTTGTTACTAATGCAGATGATAAGCTGTTGGCCTACAAAATAACTGCAAAGCAAAACAGCTGTGCACTTTTGTCATTCAAAGAATACCCTCCTTTCTGTCCCTTAGATTCTGTCTTTCCTGTGAAGAGTGAGACTTAAATGTTCAGGGGGAAAGTTTTATTAATTTGTCCTCTAAGATTTTTTTTTTTTTAACTCAGATTCCAAAGTCTGCTTTCCAGAGATAGCCTTGGCTCTGAAGCCTCTGAGCTGGTGAATGTATCATGAAAAAAGCATGTGACTTCAAGACTTAACCCCCAGGGTACAGTAGACACAGATCAGGGGTATGGGACAGGGAGCTTACAGACAAGGAGGATAGATCCCATAAAAGGGAACACAGTATTAGGAGCTGTTTGGTGATGAGTATCAGTGAAAGGCAGGAGATGAGAGCAATCTTAGAATTCAAAGGAGAGTGGATTAATTATATTTTATGCCATTAGTAATTTCAGAAGGATTATAAACTGAAAGAAGGGAGCCACTTCCCTCTACCTGTGCTCTCAGTTGGAACTGTGACTGTTAAAAGTTTTACCAATCAGATCTCTTAGATGATTACACTTGATTATGTTCAAAATTGACTGGGCACCTGACATTGAAAGATACAGGCAAAGAAAACCTAGGATGCTGGTGGATTTGCACCTTTGTTACATAAGGAATAGTTAGTTGAAAGAGCAGAGGGGGTTGGCCTGGAGGAGAGAAGACACACTGGGGTCATGAGTGGCACCCTTCATGACTCCAGGAGTATTTCTTTCACATCTCCTGGAAGATAGCCCTGCACACATCAACACAGGTAGGTATTAGCATCCTTATTTTATAGCTGGTGAGACACACAGAGAAGGACCGTGACTTGGTGTAATTCACTCAGTGACAGAGACCAATCTCAAAGCCAGATCTAGGTCTGTGTATTTTGATCAGTATATGGTGAGTGGCCTCAGTCTCATCTTGAGAAACGAAGCCAAGATTAATAAGGCAGAAATTAACTGGAAGAAAGATTTTGGGCTCCTTACAAGGAAGATTTTTTAACTGTGCTGCCCAAAGTAGTTTAACATACTGCTTAAGGGATAGTGCGTTCCTTTGTCATTAGAGCCATTCAAACAAATGCTAGAAAATCATATGGGCCGGGGTATCACAGAGAATGTTCAGGCATTGGTAAGAGATTGAAGCCAACTTTCTGATCTTGTGATTCTGTGATCTACAGTTCATTGCATCTTTCAGGGAGTGTTTTACTAGGCTCTAATTAGGAGGAAATAGATATAACCTAAAAATACAATTTTAGCTTTTATGTAAAGCTTTTGTGTTTTAACATTTAACTGTTTTAAATAAAGTATGCATTGTTTCTTTGCACATTTAAAATATTAGAAAGCAAAGAGGGAAATTATAAAGATATAGGCTAGGGCCGGGGATTTAGCTCAGTGGTTTCGCTGCCTGCTGCGCAAGCACAAGGACCTGAGTTCAATCCCTGGTACCAAAAAAAAAAGAAAAAGATATAGGCTTACGTATTTTTTATAGCAAAACATTTATTAATACATTTTAGGCATACATAGTGATAACACTCAGCATAGGGAAGGCTTAAATATATAAAATTTAAAAGCAAAAACTTATTTGATTATGGCATTAACTCAGTCCTCCTAGCTATTCACAGATTGTAAAGGAAAGTTTTTTTCACTTCCCAAATACCTTTACAGTTTAGAAACACTAATTCTAAAAATGGGGATTTTTTTCATCTCTACTGAAAAGCCAAAGCTATTAATTATTTTCAAATGAATATAGACACTTAAGAGAATTTTTGTAACTTGCTGATGTGAGTTTGGGTCAAACAAAAATTTTTTAAAATGCATATCATTCACATCTCCTGAATGACTCCTGCTCGGCTCTGAAATGGATCATATAGTTAAATTATGGAGGAATGAGTACTAATGACATGTGTCATAATGCTTTTTCATTCAAAAATAAGGTTTATTGAATCTCAGGATTACTACTAGTAAGAAAAAACTTTGAGAAGATAAAGAACTATTGAGACCCAGTTATAAACCTGTTCTACATTGTGTCTGTTTTGATTTTCTCACACTGAATAATCTAACACTATGAATTCCTGTTCCTTTTTTTTTTTTTTTTTTTTTGGTACCGGGGATCAAACTCAGGTCCTTGTGCCTGCAAAGCAGGTGGTGGGACCACTGAGCTAAATCTCCAGCCCCTGAATTGCTTTTCTATGGTGATAATTTAGATCCTTAACATGAAATAAGAGTATCTTCAGCCAGCCGTGGTGGTGCATGCCTATAATCCCAGCACTCGGGAGGCTAAGCCAGGAGGATTGCCTTGATTTGGAGGCCAACCTGGAGTACACAGCAAGATTGTGTCTCAAAAAAATCCAAAACTAGGGCTGGGAATTTAGCTCAGTGGCACTGCGCCTGCCTCACAAGTGCAAGGTCCTAAGTTTGATCCCTGGTACTGGATTTTTTTAAATCCAAAAAAAGAAATAAAAATATGTTCATATAAAATTTTGTGCAAAAATTACTAAAGTAACAAATGTACTGAAAATTTCAAATTAAATATCATGTACGAGTGGGCTGTGCTTAATATTAACAGGCTTGTTATAATGAAATGGATTTTCCTTTTTTCTTTTTTAGAAAGTCACAGGTTAAAGGCAACTCAGCTCCTTGGGCAGTTGGTGGTGGTAGAGAATAGCCCTGGGAAGTGGTCTGAGGGGAGAGTTACAAAAAGGAGGCAGTGGAGCCTTGGACCTCAAAGACAGTGAGGCAGCTCTGGAGAGATGCTGTTGGAAGTAAAGGAGAAGGGGGGGTCTGCTGTGGTGGAGTGTGTAAGGCACCGTCACACTTTTTGGAGCACTCCTTTGATAGGAAGGCTAGCAACCCCATGGAGGGGTTAGGAAAGGTTGTTCACAGAGAGTTGGAGGGTCTCTGATTTGCTAATTAGGGGGATATGAAATTATGAACATGCACATTAGGCTAGCTGAGAACACAGAAGCAGCATAGAAAATTCTGGCTCCGCTCAGCAACTTCCATGGTAGAAAAGAATATATGCACGTCTAGTGCAGTGATCCCCAATAGTCAGTCTCCGGATAGTCCAGACTCACATGATAATGTCTACTGATAGTTTAACCAGACATCACTTCCCTTGGCATCAATTTCTTGGGTTCAGTGCTTTGATATTTCACTTCCAAGGAAACTCATTGAAGGTTCTTTTAACCTCTGTCTGCCAAACTCCATCACACCCTAATGCCCTATACATATGTTTAGCATCCTTTTTTAGATGTCACCTTGAATACTAATTTTCTCCATCAAGCTGAATGTTACTTTGTCCAAATCAGTATTGGCCAAGTTCTTATCTCTTCAAAGATAGAATTCTTACCTATTTAACCCGGTTAACTGTTCTTAGCAATGTTGGGAAATTAAGAAACACTGCTAGCTGATTAGGTGTGTTATTGCAGAACTGATTACACTCACATTTGGTGGTGTCTCCACTGAAACTGTACACTTTTTAAACAGGTCAGTGAGGGAGGGGACTACTTGGTTAGCACTGTCATTTGGGGGCATAGCAAAAGCCAGGTGCACTTTGAGTCCTTGATACCCCTTCTCCAGGCCCAGCCTCTATTCTGATTTCCACTACTTTGTTTTCTTACTCTCCCTTGCAGAGACAGGGCAGGGCATTGTTCATGCACTGACCAACCTCAGCAGCCCCGGCATGACCTCAGGGAACGGAAATTCTGCCTCCAGCATCGCCGGCACTGCCCCCCAGAATGGTGAGAATAAACCACCACAGGCCATTGTGAAACCCCAAATCCTGACGCATGTTATCGAAGGGTTTGTGATCCAGGAGGGGGCGGAGCCTTTCCCGGTACGGACTACTTCTTTTCCCCTTTTTTTGTTTTGTTTTTTTTTTATTTTGAAGTATATTTTGGATGTGTATTAGAGTATTTTTGCATTTCCGTGTACAGTTTCTGAAAATGTGGACAGTTTGTTCTTTCCTTGCTATCCCCTCCCCGCAAAAAAATGTCAGAAGCACTTTTTTCCTAGGATTCTCTCTCCAAGGTTTAGAAGCACTCAGTTATCAGGAATAACTGGCAAGAACCCTTATTAGGAGTTTCTGTGCACAGGTTTAATGTATCCTTGCCTGTGATCCTTTGGTTAGAAGAGAGTTCACTGTTGGGTATTCAGTGAGAGATAATGATTCGGGGAAATTAGAGCTCATCAAGCTTTGAATGCTAAAAACTCTCAATGGCAAAACTTTGGCCAGTCAGAGAACAAAAGGAACCTGCATATTAGTAAGGGTTTTCAAGATGTATGGGAAATGAAAGTGGGGGAGTGGGATCACAGCCTCAGATTTGTTTTCTGGGGGCAGAGCCTTGAAAAGGAAATGAATGAAATTGAGAGGTCCTCAGAAAACATACAATCTGAAGTCTTCAATGAGAGCCTAAGACTGAAGGGAAATATAAAAGAATCATGAAGATGGTTTATGAGTGCAAAGCCCCCAGAGCTGATTGTGGGGGCGGTGAGTGCTGCTCTGCAGTGTGCAGAGCCCATGGCCAGGTGCACACTAGTCTGTCTTCTGATGGGCATTATCTGGCTGTTGGAGACCCCATCTCTTCAGGATGCCATCTGCTTTGTGCTCATTGTTTGGATCCATAGGTGGTTTGATCAGCCAGTGGAAGACTGGGCTTGATTAACTGAGATGGGTGACTGGCCCTTCAAAAATGCCAAAAACAAATAGATTCTTGTCCTCTTTCCCTCTGGAGGGTATCCAAGCCCAGCTACAAATCCAGCAGGGATACCTACCTATAAATAGCCCTAGCCCTGCTGCATCCCTTCTCTCACTAGACCAAGTCCTCCCCTTGCCTTCTGGAGTAACTCCAGGAACCAGCTGGTCTCACAGGGTAGATTCAGAATGACTAGCATGTCAGCACTGCCCTAGAGTCAGACACCAAGTGATATGGCCCCTAGGCTGCCTGAACAAAGGCCACAAAGGGAGGATGAGAAAGGTGAATAAGCAAATTTGGGATCCTGACAACCACAGAGCATTTGCTCTGTGCCCCAGGTTTGGTTTTTCTAGCTCTCCCATGCACCTGCCTGTACCTCTGGCTTCAGTGGGGCACTGGTAAGGAGAAGAACAGTAAGAAATCCAGAAAAGGGTGCTGAGTCTCTCATAAGTATACTCACACACAGACTCAGCCCTGCCCCAGGGCCTGGCACTTAATCTGGCATTTTGGGAAACTTCACCTCTGCCTTTGTTTCTGCCTGGAGACACCTAGAAAAATAGGTTCTCCCAAGCCATCCACTGCCTCCCAAGCCATCTGCTGGACACAGACCGAAGGCATTCCTGTACTTCGGTGCCCATTGCTCCTTGCCTCATGAGCTAGATAGGGCATTGAGCAGGGTGCCTCAAATGGTGACATGGGGTGGGGGATGTGTTGAGGAGGGCTGGCATCTGCCTGGATACTTTGATTTGTGTAACTGTGATGAGGCTGCATGGCAGGGGAGCCATTCCACCTAATCTTTGTGGCCTCCATGTTACCTGTCCTGTAGGTGGGACGCTCATCCCTGCTGGTGGGGAATCTCAAGAAGAAGTATGCACAGGGATTCTTGCCTGAGAAACTTCCACAGCAGGACCATACCACCACCACTGACTCGGAGATGGAGGAGCCCTACCTGCAAGGTAAGTGCCTCAGACCTGTCTGAAGGCCTTCCAGTTGGCAGGACAGCAGGCCTCATGCCTTCCCTTTCTCCATCTGTGGAAGAACTCGAGCAGGGACTGACAAACACTTCCATCTACTGAGCATTTCCCCCAATACCTCCTCTGTCCCTAGAGAACAGGGACAGGAGAAATGGAGAACCATTTATCCCCTGCTTCTCCAGCCAATCACATGATTTCAAAAGTTGTACTTCCTTTGGGAATCATTAGGACATTCTAGAAATGAATACAGGGCTGCACCAGGCCAGCATGTCTTTCTTTTACTGCCTCAGGAGGCTCCATTCAGAGTGGGCCAACTCTGAGGCATAGCAGTGGCCAGGCAAGGATCATACTTTGCACGTGAACCACTAACTTCCTGGGAGCTGTCCAGGGTCCATGAGTGTAAAGCTCCTGGGTTCTCTGACCCAGGCTTCCAGTAGCAAGATGGATCAGAGTAAGGTGGGATAATCCCAGAAAATCAGTCATGACATGACTGTACCCAGAGTATTTCCTGTGAGCTTCCTCCTTTCTTCCATGGTTATGAAGGCTGCTAGTTCTGTCCTGCCTATGTTGTGCCTCAGATTTATGGGACCTGAGAAAAAGTATCACTTTGGGCCGGGGATTTAGCTCAGTCATTCCACTGCCTGCCTTGGAAGTGCAAGGTCATGAGTTCAATCCCCGGTACCAAAAAAAAAAAAAAGTATCACATTTACAAGGGTTATCAAAAAGACGCCTTTAGGAACTTCCCAGTGGAGAGACAGAGCCTTTTCAAAAGTGGTGAAAATGGGCTGGGGATTTAGCTTAGTGGATCCGCTACCTGCCTTGCAAGTGCAAGGTCCCAAGTTCGATCCCTGGTACCAAAAAAAAAAGGTGGTGAAAATGTTTTGGCATTTTCCAAGCTGCATGTCACATCCGTAGGAACATGAAGAGGCAGGATAGAGCAGGAAACCTTGTAGTGGGGCTGTTCGAAGTCCTACAGGAATTTATCCTTCTCTACACTTACCCATTTCCATACTTTTCAGAATCCAAAGAGGAGGGTACTCCCCTCAAACTCAAGTGTGAGCTTTGTGGCCGGGTGGACTTTGCCTACAAGTTCAAGCGGTCCAAGCGCTTCTGTTCCATGGCTTGTGCAAAGAGGTGAGTGGCTTCAGCTTGCTGCCATGTCTAACCTTTCCTTGCCTCCAGATTGCACCTTAGAATCCTAGTTTTACGTCCTTTCTCCTTCCAGTAATCATCTACCCCCAGAAAATTGTAGGTGTGGCTTATCCAGCATCCTCTTTCCTTGAACTGCCTGGATACAGTTTAGCATCCCTAGGGTACTGGGTCTGTGAAACCAGAACCCCTAGGAATGGATCAGAGAGAACACAGAGTCTGAGGAAAGGAAGCTGCCCATTAGCTGGGCTGGCCTACTGGGTTCCACTGGCACCCATTTTCCTTGCCTCCTCTTGGCAACTGCCACCTCCTTAAAGTAAGCCCTCCAACAGAAGCTTTGCCTAGAACTGCAGCACTAGTTACAGTGTTCTCCGGGTGAGCTTCCACCCACCTTAGAAGGCTGGTGATCAAAATAAAAATCACTGTCATTTATTGAGAACCTGCTATGTGCTGGATGTCAATTAATGTGCATTGTCTCATTTCACAATAACCCTACAAGGTGGTTGTTATTGTCCCCTTTATGTGGTTGGAACTCTAAGACATAAAGGAGTAATTGTGCCTAAGATGACACAGCTAATAAGTCATAGGACCTGGGGATTTAGAAACATCTGATTCTAAAGTCCTATGTTGCCAGATTTGGGCCAGCAAACCCTGATAGATGAATGAAAACATAGGAGACAGAGAGTATCTTTGTGGAGGATCAGGGGACTCCACCAAAATAAAGTCCTGAACTGATGCAGACTCCCAGATTTATTTAGGAACAACAAAGGTATAACATTCTGCTGAGCAGAGATGTTTGTTTCAGGTTAGCAAGGCATGGTGACTATTTGGCTGAATTATTAACTTTTACCTGATTTCCCCCAGGGAGCTTCGTTTTCCCTATAAGGCCCATCTCTGCTCAAGTTGGCAAAAATCCCATCTTCGCCTGCCTCGAAAGAGCAAGGACCCAAGTTCAATCCCCAGTACCGAAAAAGAGATGTTCCAGCTCCACGGAGTTAGCAGTCTTCTGCCCCGCACCCCCACCTTAGTCAACCCAAGCAGTCATTGACCCATTGGGTGTCACAAGGAACTCCACACTATGTGGTCTTTTTACCAAGTGGAAGAAGTGGCTGATCTTGAAGCCCTGAACTCCCAAAAGAGAAGAAATTTCTAGGTCCAGGCAACAGTTCCCTGTATGCCCAGGCAGTCATTGTCCTCAGCCTCACTGTCATCAGGCTGTATGTTGCAGGCAGCCAGAGGCCCTTTGTCAAGCTTTGCCTGTCCATTCTTTAGCAAGACAGCTGACAGTACTGACCAGGTAGTATTTAGAGTGTGTCAGCCATCCTCCAAGTTTTTGTGTTAAAACAGGTCATCAACATTATTTCAGGTCATTGTGAGACCTTTTTCAGAAGTCAAGTGGTGTCTCCGCAACTCTCGGTAAGGCCCAGAGCTTAAGTGGTTGCCCAAAGTTGCACAGCCAGCAGTCAATGATACAGGAGTCAGGATTTGAACCAATAGATGGACTCAGATTTTGCCAGACAAATTGGCTGCTTTTCTTCTGCCTAGGGCTTAGGAGCCCTCCAACTGCTAATTTTACCTGTGTATCTTGACAGGTATAATGTGGGGTGCACCAAGCGAGTGGGACTTTTCCACTCAGACCGGAGCAAGCTGCAGAAGTCAGGGGCCACAACCCACAACCGCCGCCGGGCTAGCAAGGCCAGTCTGCCAACACTTAGCAAGGATACCAAGAAGCAGGTGAGAGGCTGGCAGAGCCTTGCCTTTGTTCCTACATGTGCCCAATATTTTTTAGCACCAGTTCTATGCCAGCAACTCTATTAGGCACTAAAGTTCCAAGAACATAGTCTTTAACATAATTAAAGGAAATCATAGCCTAGTTTAGTTTATTTTTGTATTGTTTCTGGTACTACGGATTGAACCCAAGGATGCATGTGTGCTGGACAAGTATTCTACCTCTGAGCTACACCCTCAGCCCTATTTTTTAAACTTTATTTTGAGACAGGGCCTCACAATTTCACATAGAGCCCATACATAAAAACCAAGGATTGACTTTTCCCTGGGTTTGCTCTTGGCCTAGACACCATTTCATAATTCCAGCATCGTTTGTCATCTGGAGAAGCTGAGAAGCCAGAGCCAGCAAATATTGGCTCCCTCGTGTTAAGTAGCTTTTCCTTTACCTTCTCTTTTTCCTCCCTTTTTTACTATGAGCAGCAACAAAAGCTAGGCAGTGCCTTCAATATTCTGCCAGAAAATCTCAGCTAGATCACTCAGTTCCTTGTGTACATTTAAGTTAGCATGTTATCAACAATATTGCTAGATTTTTCTATTTCAAATATCACCTCTAAAAGAAAGCATAAAATCAGATCATTGTACTGTAGTCCAGTGTGGTACATGCAATAGTTCTGGAAAGGGCTGACAGTTTAGGGCCAGAAAGGAGACAGCACGGAAGATGCTATTTGATCTAGGAACTTCCAAGATATAGTAGTGTACCAAGCAGCAAAGAGAGAAACACCTACTTTTAATCATTGCTGCTGCTAGAAATGGTTTGTTCCCCCATGCTGAAAAAAGCTGTTTCTCTCTGCCCCCAGCCAACAGGCACTGTACCCCTTTCAGTTACTGCTGCATTGCAGCTGACGCACAGTCAGGAAGACTCCAGCCGTTGCTCAGATAACTCAAGCTATGAAGAACCCTTGTCACCCATCTCAGCCAGCTCTTCCACCTCCCGCCGGCGACAAGGTCAGCGGGACCTGGAGCTCCCTGACATGCACATGCGGGATCTGGTAGGCATGGGACACCACTTCCTACCAAGTGAGCCCACCAAGTGGAACGTAGAAGATGTCTATGAATTCATCCGCTCTCTGCCAGGTAAGGCCCTTGGAAATTCCATGCCTGCCTGGAATAGCAAGGAATGAGAGGGAGAGAGACCTCACCTCCCTCTACCAGGGAGGCTCAAGTAGTTCAGTTAATGGCTCAGGAACTAGGGTGCAGAGATTAACTAACCATGAGGCTCCTGCCTCTAAGAGATTATACTGTAGTGTAGAACGTATACTCTTAAGTGATATTCCACAGCTATAGTTCTATAAAGTGACCTGTGTGAAATGCAGCAGTGGTAATGAAATCAGCCTTGTCTCTCTCCTGGGGTAGCCTGAGAGAGGAGTCAGGTGGAAATGTAGGCAGTCTGTCAAGGCATACATAAAAACCAAGGATTGACTTTTCCCTGGGTTTGCTCTTGGCCTAGACACCATTTCATAATTCCAGCATCGTTTGTCATCTGGAGAAGCTGAGAAGCCAGAGCCAGCAAATATTGGCTCCCTCGTGTTAAGTAGCTTTTCCTTTACCTTCTCTTTTTCCTCCCTTTTTTACTATGAGCAGCAACAAAAGCTAGGCAATGCCTTCAATATTCTGCCAGAAAACCTTCTCAGCTAGATCACTCAGTTCCTTGTGTACATTTAAGTTAGCATGTTATCAACAATATTGCTAGATTTTTCTATTTAATGAGATAAAATTGAAATTCCTATCTCTTTCAGTCTTCAATAGCAGTTTCCTTAATTTCCTTTAAGCTTCCCAGAAGCTTCCTCGGAGGCGGTCAGGCTTTTGCTCATGGTGTCAACGCACCTTAGTTGTTCACTGACAGTCCTCAACATCCATCCAGCTGCAGCCCGCTGCCAGGTCCAAGGCCATGCCCACATATTTAGTTTTTTAATGACAGCACCCCCTCTTCCATATACCAACATCTGTTTTAGTTATCTTTTGTTGTGATATAAATTACTCTAAAGTTTAGTGGCTTTAAACAGTAACCACTTATCTCAAGAGTCCATAGGACAGGAATTTACAGTGCCTCAGATGAGCACCTATGGCATAGGGATTCATACAAGGTCTCAGTGACGTCAGCCAGGACTACAGTCATCTAAAGGTTTGGAGCTGGTGGACCCACTTGTAAGTGGCTCCCTCAATGACAAGCGAGGCTGGCTTTTGGTAAGAGGCCTCAGTTGCTCTCCACGTGGGCCTCTCCAGAGGGCTGCCAGAAGGGGTCTCATGACAGGATGGTCAGCTTACTCCAAAATAATCTAAAAGAACAAGGTGAAAGCCACTGTACCCTTTATGATCTAGCCTCAGAAATCACCTGCTGTCACTTCTATACCACCTTATTGGCCACGTGAGTCAGTGCAGTTTGAGGAGGTGAAGGTCTGAACGAGGGCATGAGTAAGGAGGCCTCTATCAGGGCTTCCTTGAGTAAGTCACTTAGCTTAGCCTCTCAGAAGCTGCAGGATAAGAATAGCAGTACCGTCCTCAATGATAAACCTCAGAGAAAAGGCTGCCTCATTATTGCTGGCTGCCACAAATGAATGCCGTCACTTTAACTGATGCTGTCTTTGGTGGTACTCCCAGGCTGCCAGGAGATCGCAGAGGAATTTCGTGCCCAGGAGATTGATGGGCAAGCCCTGCTGCTGCTCAAGGAGGACCACCTGATGAGCGCCATGAACATCAAGCTGGGGCCTGCCTTGAAGATCTACGCACGCATCAGCATGCTAAAGGACTCCTAGGGCTGGTGGGGCAGCGGGGTCTGGCCCGGGGCTCCCAGCTGAGCACAGCCAGATAGACATTCCCAAGGGGCCCAGAGATGGGGCCAGTCAGAGGGAAGGGCCTCTCTAGGGGCGCAGCTGGTGAGGAGGTCTGGGTACCTCAATGGCTCTCAGGGGCCTTTCATTTCTTGGGAGGGCAGAGAGGCCGGGGGCGTAGAAGATGGGGCTTTATGCTTGTAAATATTGATAGCACTGGCTTCCTCCAAAGTCCCAATACTCTAGCCCCACTCTCTTCCCCTCTCTCTGTCCCCCATTTTCCAGGGGGTTTATGGTCAGGGCTCCCCAACTTGAGTTGGGTTACTTCCGAGGGCAGCCAGCAGGCCTGGGTAGAGGCCTTGAAAGCCCTTGCCTTCCTTCTTCCCACCTCCTTCTCCAGGCCTGGTTAACCTTCCGTTGCCAGCTTCTCCCCCTCAGCCTGTTTTGGTAGCAACAGGGGGCTTCTCCCCCTGTACCCTCTGCAGGTGGAGAGAGAAGCTGGCCCCAATTTGGCCATGCCTGCTGGCATAGACGCCTTAACGCTGTGTGTGTGACTGAGTGACTGTGTGGGAGCCTGGACTGACAGGCCACGAGCTGCCCTGTGGCATCACCAGGTGTTTTGTAACAAATGGCCGCTTAGTGCTTTGTCCTAGACTCCACTTGGCCTGAGGATGGGGAATAGAAAAGAAGGGCAGCCTCCGTGGGGATTAGATTTCCTCTCCAGACACGTCAAGAGGTCTCTGAAGCTCCTCCCCACACTGTGATGTCCCCGACTGCCCTGCTGTCTCACAAACAGCATTAAGGAAGCTGCCGGTGGGCTGGGCCATGTATCCCAGGGCCCAAGCTGGGCTGAGCCTCCTAGACGGCCTATCTGCCTACCCTCGGAGCCCCATGGTGGGGCCCCAAGAACTGAGAGGAGAGAATAGCTGGAGGCAGGATGTGTGAAGAAGACAGCCTGTGACTTCCCATTTCCACATTTCTTTGCTTGTAAAACTTCTTAGCAGCAGTTAACGGTTCCTGAGGAGAAGGCAGGGCAGGAGGGTGAGGGCCTGCCTCTGACTTGCCCTGTCCTAGCAGCTCCTGGGGGAAGAGTCGGACTCTTCCCAGGAAGGGGTGGGCACTGTTCTCAGCTTGTTCTATTCCCCACCTACACCCCCAGGCAGGTTTGGAAATGAAGGACTTTTTTTTTAACCTTTTGTTTTTTAAAAATAAATCTGTAAAATCTGCCTCTTCTGTGCCTTTCTCCTATAGAAATGCCTGTTTTTTTATCTGAGTGGCTTACTTTTCACCTGTAAAGACATGGGAGGGCCACCTGAACTGGACAGCATGTCCATCACAATTGGCGGGGCCAGATCATTTGAAGTATCCCAGCCCCAATTCACAGTGTCCATTAGAGAAGGTCCAGAGCACCTCCCCACCATCCCCACGTGGGACACATGTTGAGGAACACCTGGGCCAGAACCCAGATTCTGCCACCCTCCAGCAGATGCCGCTGCGGGGAGCTGCCCAGTGTCCAGAAGAACCCTTGGGATAGCTTTACATCTGGATTTTCCAAGCATTTTTTAGGATTAGTACAGAGGAGGTAACACTCAACCTTGCACAAAGAAGAAAGGGCATCTCAGACCAATGCAGTATGGCAAGGGCACAGCATGGACATGGAAGTGCAGATGAGTGGGATCCAGCTGGCTGGACTGGATGAGATGTGAGCCACCAGCAGTGGCTGGGGTGGGCTGTGTACCTGAGACAGGCAGTGTGCTAAAGACAAGCCTGTCCTCTGGTGTGCAGCAAAATCTCTCTTGTACCTACCTCACAGGATAGAGAGGAGGCACCTGCCTCCTTTGGCTAGTTTTTTACTTAAGGCAACTAAGAATGGGGGTTACTATACCTTGCTCCTCCTGTATTGCACAAGAACCTCCAAAGAAAAATTAGGCATAATAATTTTTGAGGACCAGTACCTAGATCTTGGTAACTCCTTTCTGAACCTGTTCAGATGTAACTATCAGCAGGAGGAGGAGAAGCTAGCTGACCTATCCCCAGTGAGAGCAAGGCCTGGAAAGCCCGCTATCCCTGGAGGCAAGGAACCCCTGAGAAGTTGGAGGGCCCAGGGATGCTTGGGGGTGCTTGCCTGAGTGAGCGGGGGGGGGGGGACCCCCAAGCAAGGGAGGCTTCCTGTGCTCGCCCTCTCACTAAGGAATATGGGATCACTTTCTGGACCCAAGTCTTCTTATATGGGAGAAAATGAGAAATAGGCCCCACCCAAGTCTTTGCGCTTTGGAGGTAGGTGGCAGAACCACTGAGCTAAATCCCCTGTCCCCAAGTGTTATTTCTAAGTGTATGATGGAGAGGGAGGAAACCAAAACTATTAAAAGGATATCGTGAGTACAAGGGACTGACTTGCACAGTAAATGCACATTCTTATTCTGCTTTAGGTGACAGGCCCCAACTGGCTGCATATTTGAAGGGCACTTTCTTAAATACAGATGTGCTTCTATTTAACCTTACACAGAACTTACGCCCTTGATAATGACTCACAGTATTTCCCAACCTTGGGTACACACAAAAGTTCATGTACTGCCATAATTCCTTCTTGCTGCTTTTAAAATCTTAATCATGATCTACTAAACTAACTTCTTGACTGCTGGGACACCACTTGCATTTTTTAAAAACTTGCCCAGGGTGAGTCTCACAAAAAGCCCTGATTTAATCCAGCTCACACTGACCTAGTGTATGTTCCCCACTTTACTGAGGAGGAGTGAATTGCCCAAGGTCATGATGTCCATCCAGTGCTCTTCAGTTCCAGCTGGGCCTCTTTGTAGAACAGGGGTTTCCCTGGGTAGGAGTGACATACCCTAGCCTGGCCACTTTCAGAAACAAGACTGAAGAAGAGTTCAAAGACCACTGGAAAGGAAAGAGAAGTTAATACAAAGCTTAGAGCTTTGAGCCAACTCAGATCCATCTCTTTCTGCTGATTGGTCCCAGATGGGTCATCTGCCTCCAGTAGGCCCCACCCCCCAGCAAGTGCCTTACTGGGCAGTCTACTTCTGCTTGCTTTTGTGGGTGTGGTTCCTGAGGTAGAGGGCAGGAAAGAGCTGCTTCGTTCCAGTCACCAACCATTGGAAGCAGGTCATTTTTTCCCTGGCTCTGAACAGAGAAAGTCTGTAGCAGGCTGTTCCACTGGCTTCTCCCTATGGCCCTCAAGGAGGGACTCAGGTGAGTGGGGGCAATGCCAGGGGGAGAGGATGGAGAGAAGGGGAAGGACAGCTGTCCCAAGAAGGGTCTTGTCGGTGGCCAGAACAGTCAAGGGGAAAGCACCAAAGCTAGACCACTGAGAACCAGCTGAGCCACAGGTCCTGGGAAGAGGTGACTCAGGTAGCTCATGTAAAGGATGGTGGGGTCAGTGCACCACACCCTAGTAGGTTGTGTAGCCAGTGAACAGCTGGGTGAGTGAAGACCCAGGGCATGCACCCCCTCCCCCATACTGAGCTCTGTTCCCATAGGACTGACTGCCCAAGACTAGGAACCTGCTTCTTGAGGACTAATAGCTGATCTGTACCCTTTTGTGAAAGCACAGAGAGGGAGCAGGGCATGGGTAGGGCTTGAAAACAATCTGCAGGTAGAACTGGCAGACAGGACTCTGAAAATAATGGAGCAAGGAATGTGGAGGAGTGGACTGGGCAGGTGCATCCATGCATAACAGTTCTGGACTGGATGTGGGACAGGTGGAAGGAGCTGGAAGACCAGTCTGGCCTGGGAACCAGCACCCTCCCTTACCTGACTGAGCTCACCTGGGCCACTCAGGGCCAGCTCTGCCTGGCTGTCCTGGCTTAGCCCCAATGCCCAAGATAAAGCACTGCTTTGCCTACCCTAGTGGGGGTGGAGGGACACTGGCAAAGAAAGTACAGCCACTAAGGGCAGAAAGAAGCTGATAGCTTTTTTCTACCCCTGCACCACAGCCAGTCCTGCTAACTGCCAGTCCAGACTGGCTTCTGAAAGCAAAACCACAGCCACTGCCTACCCTCCAGGAACTTGAAGTGGGCTGCAGGCCAAGTGAGGAAGGGGAAGGCTTGTTGGAAGAGAAACACCAGCAAGAAACAGGAGCAGCTAGGAACCCAGCGTTGGGCTGTGGCCACACCATAAGCACCCAAATGTCACACTAGAGGCCCTACTGTAGAGTCAGACCTAAACGCAAAGCTCAGCCCACCATTTACCAGTCCTGTGGCACTGAGCAGGTGACTTAGTCTTTCCACACCTCAGTCTCCTCACTCACAAGGTGGAGATAATTCCAGCTCCTCCTGCTAAGGGTCTGTGGTCAGATTTCAACAAGACAGGCAGAGGGCACAGCTCAGAAAGCGTCCGGGATTATTAATGAGTCCAAATCCTGGAGAAAATTGAATTTTAAGCAAAGGAGTAACAGTTTGGGAGTTTGGGAAAGAATGAAGTCAAAACATTCTATTCACTGCTTCGTTCATTTACCGAACAAATGATCATTAGCACCACCAGTTATGAAGCAGGCTCTGGGACTTGGCACCAAGAGTGCAAAGTCTTATTAAACAAACTCACAGCCCAGACAGGCAGTGAACTCGTAGTTTGGCAAGGGCTAGCAAGGGGTTTGGCAAAGGTTCAGAGGAGCATTTTGGGGACACTGTGGTGGGGAGACTTCAAAGAAGGATTCATAAAGGAGGGAGTTGGGAATGAGGAATGATTAGAGGATGGAAAAAGTGATCTGGACAAAGACTGGGGGAGACTCAAAGTCATGGCAAGCTTCAGTAACATCATGATGGAGGGTGAAAAACTGAGACGAGAGGGGAGGTTAAGAGGCTGTTACTAGAATCCAGATAAGAAACAATAAGGCACAAACGGCAGTGGGAGTAGGCAGGAGGGGTACCTCAGGCACTAGGAAGGAGGTAGAAGCAATAGAAACTGATGACTAAGCCACTATGGGTGAAGGAGAAAGGGTCACATGGACCACAGATGAGACAGGGTTTGAGGGGAGGTGTAAGCTGCAGCATGAGAGGCACTGAGTTGAGGCATCTATGGGGCACCAAGGTGGACACAGCTCTAGCGATCACATGATACCTGAGGGCTGGGCTGGAGTCAACAGCAGAGAAGCCAAATGGTGAAAGAAGAGGTACAGAGAACTGAGCTCCAGGTAACGGGCAGTGCTGGAAGAGCCAGCAGACAAGGATAAGAGTGGCAGGATGGGATGTGACCAGAGAAGTGGGCAGTGGGCAGAGTACCAAGCATGGATCCCACTCTAAGAGCAGTGAGAAGTCATCAGCAGACTTTGAAGAGGGGATGGGTGTGGCATATGGATGGACTGTAGGGGACAAGAGCAGAAGCAGGGAGGGTGGCAGAGCAAGCATGCTCTGCCAGAGGACTGGACGTGGGGAGCTGGGAGTGTGGCATGACTGCTACAACGGAAGGTACACAGTGAGTTAACAGAGAAACACGTACTCATTGTACAAGATGAAACATGACAGAAGGGCTGGGATGACAGGTGTGCTACAGGTGTGAGCCACTGTGGCTGTTAGGTTAAAGAAAACTATTGTTAAGTGGGGCGGGGGGTACACCCATAATCCCAGCATTCTGAGCAGCTGAGGCAGGAGGATTCCAAGCTTGAGCCTAGTTTGTGCAATTTAGTGATTTAGTGAAACCCTGTCTCAAAATTAAAATTAAAAAGGGTTGGGGATATAGCTTGGTGTGAAGGCCCTGGGTTCAATCCCCAGTATTGGAAAATAAAAGATTAATCTCACCTATTCCTTTTCACTTTTTTAACACATTCATGACGGGGCCATAATTCATATGTCTGACAGGTGCCTCTGATTTACGTTTATTCGTAAAAAGACCAGTAAAAGCAATTAGATCTATTTCTACAAGCTGCCTGTGAAACAGTCACGCATGTGCCACTGGCAGTTCAAGTTGGCAGGAACATGTTAATGTAGCTGACAAAAAATTTTAAATTACTCAGATGGCTCATGATTGATTACACACTTACAGGGCCTGGATATACATGCCTTAAGAGTGTAAAAGCATGGACACACAGGCACAGGACCTTTCCCTCACAGATGCGACAGCTGTCTCTACTGGAGCTGTTATTCCTTCTCCATTCACATCCTTTTCTGGACACTGGTGCACATTACACCTACACCATCCTTGGTGGTGGCCGTGTTGACCTCCACTCTATAGATATCCATAATCCACTATCGGTGAACACTGGGGTTGTTCATATTCCTTTGTCAACAATGCTACAAGAACAGGGTTGGACTGTCCACTGTAGAGTACCCATGCCTACGGGCAGGCAAGGGGGCTGGGGTGAGTGAGCACTCAAGATGGAAGGGACTGAGAAGGCTCCTTAGGCAGTGCTAAGAGATGTGGAATTGATCCTTCGGTCAACAGGAAACCACAGGATAACTTTTCTTGTAAATTATTTTTTCTGTATTTTTCCTTCATTAAGACAGCAATATGAATATATTACAGACACCTGGAAAGAAAAATAAAGGAGGAAAATCCCTGCTAGAATCCTATCACACAGTTTCGTTTTTCCTGTCTCTCACTGTCTGGCACATGTTTTTTATTCTTGCTAATTCTCACCGTGGTGTACATCACTTTTCTACCCTGCTTTTTTCCTTTCTCTTCAGAGTCAGCATTTTTGCATGTGAGTGTGAAGTCTTGGTGACTAGTTTACTCAGCAGGTCCCTCTGGCTGGACGCTGGGGCCTTTTCTAGTTACACTTGAGTGGCTCAGATACTGCTGTCTCTGGGACTTCCAACACTCTCTGTAGATGTCTCCCAAGGAGCAGTCACCAGGCTGGTCTCCCTGGTGTCCACTTCCAGCCCCTTGTCCCCTTCCAGTTATCACCTTATCTCTTTCCTCCATACAACCTGTCTTCTTCTTGGGAGAGTTACCTTCACACACACACTCTCACCTCTCCATGGTACTTCTCACACACTTAACACTCAGCCTCTCTCCTGTTCCCCCTCAGCCCTCTGTGCCAGGGCTCTGGGCTCCTGTCCCTTGTGCCCTTCTGGTGAATCCCAGAACTCTCTCCTAAGCCTGCCTGCCTTCCGGGCTCCAGCCCCTACCCCCAAACAGACAAGTAGACAACTTCTGCTTTCCTGCCCCTCCCAGCCCTACCCTTCCAGTCAATGGCCAAGTCATGCCCATTCCTCCTCCTCTACAGTGCCTCATGGCCTAACACCTAATGTTCCTACTGTTCCTACCAACACACTGCTTCCTGCCCCAGGAGCACCCTGATTTCTAACTTACCTTCCTGCCTCCGGCCACACCTTCCCTCCCGGCCCACCATGTCCAGGCTCAACAGTTCAGCACAGTACTTTTTATTCGCCAAATAAAAATCGGTGCACACCTTGGAGGAAACTCTCCTGGGCTCCCCATGGCCCATGGACTGGGGGCTTTCACTGACCTCGACAGCCTCAGCTCCCAACAACCCTCATCTGCACTCTACCTTCTCCCCTCCAGTGCCACCTGCCTGCCAAGCTTTCTCTCACCTCCTCACCTGTGCTTGCCTTTCCTTCTTACAAGCTGCCCTTCCCCCTCCCTCACTGCCTCTTTTGCCTGCACATCTTCTAATCCTTCAGGTCCTACCTTAGAGGTCACCTCCTCCAGGAATCTTCCTGACCTCCTCCCAGTATGCCAAGGCTCTGGTGCTGCCCTACAGCTTGACCTCCTTAACACCAGTGTGTGTCCTACTCACAACACTCATTGTTCTGGTCTGTCCCGGCGCCCCTTCCTCACCCTCTTCTCCCACTGCACCCACATCTTCCAATTCCACACCCTGAAGACAGGGTCTGTCTCACTCCCTTCTAAATCCTTGACCTAGTACAGTGGCCGTATGCTGCACTGGTCTGAATGCATGACTGACCGGAAACAGATGGATATCCTGATGTACTAACTTTGCATACCAAAGGTCATTGCCTACAAATAGATTTCCAGAAGCTGGAGTTACTGAATCAAAGGGGATGACTATCAAAAGCTTTCAATTTCAGCTTCCCAAAGGACCCTCAGAATTCACACTTTCACTAGTGAGCCTATCTCACCGTATGTCAACAGCTTGGTTATTTTCATTATTTTTTTAAAGTGCTGATTTTATAGGCAAAACCTACCATCTTGTTCTAATTTGTATGTCTCTAGTTACTAGGAAGGATGAATGTTTTTCCATATATTTGCCTACTAAACGCATTTTTTCTTTAAGGATTTACCTGATATGACATAAACACTGTTAAGGGAAGTGGACAGCTTTTGAGCTGACTTGGGGTGCTTGGGGATTGACTAGAAATAGGGTAAGCTCTGCTGCAATGGTCTTGGTAATAGATGAGCCAGCCAGGCTCCCTGTGGAGGCTTTGGGGAGGAATAGGAGGTGGGCAGAGACCAAGGATGCCAACTCAACCCAAGCTGAGGACTGACAGTGGTTGCAGGTTTCTGGCACAGCCAACTAAGCAGATGTCTGAAATTGTGTCCAGGTAGATGTAAACACAACTGCAAGGTAGTTCTCACAGCTGCTCCTGAACATGTCCTATGAGAAACAAAGAAGTGAAAAAACAGGAAAGGCAGGGGCAGGAGGATCTGATGCAGGCAGCCTTCTTGAAAGAGACCAGAGGGAGCCAGAAGGACCTGTAGGACAGGGAGTGGAGCTAGAAGGTTGCCAGGGGATGATGAGGATCTGTTAGGAAGAAGAATCATCATCTTCATCATCAGCTAAAGTTTGCCAGCTATTACAATGTAAAAGGCCTGGCTCTACCGCTGTGTTAACTCAAAGTCCATGACTGCCCTCTGCAGACAGTACTCTCATCACCTATCTTACAGATGAGAAAGCTGACATGCAGAGGGTCAGGCCTTGCCCAAGGTCAGACAGCTCAAAAGTGGAAGAGCTGGGATTCAGACATGGGGATCTGGCCCCAATGTCTGTACTCCTTCACTTCTCTCCAGGAGATCTGCAACATGTTGGAAGACAACCTACTACAGATAAATCCCATAGCCAACCTTTGCTAAGCCAGGAATGGGGCCTCTGAACCCTGTGGGAGGAACTCTGGCCCAGCCTGGACTGCAGCCACCATGGACACAAAATTTCTGACCGTAGCCAGTCCAGCAACCTGTCTCTTCACTCCCAGCCACCAAGCCACAAACTCCCCTATAGCCTCTTCTGGCCCATTGGCCTGACCAGGGTCAGCCTTACCCCCACCTAGACTATGTACCCCAGCCCCTAATGCTGCTGTCCTCCAAACCTGCCCAAAGTCATGCCCTCCAGCACTTCTGTCCAAAGACAAGCTCAGTGCTCATCAGACAAACCCTGGTTAGGGAAATCACGCCACCTCCAACCCATAGCATACTAGACAGCTGGACAAATGGGTGAGGAGGTTAAGTACTGAGATGGAATAATCTAACAGCAAAAAATGCAGGTGCAGAATGGTATATCCATTGTGCTGCCACCTGTGGGAGATCCAAGAAAGAAGAAAAGTGTACTTGCTACCATTTATATGGAACTCTGGAGGACACACTGGCTGCCTCCATGTGGAGGAACAGCAAAGACTTTGCTGTATATACTCTTTCATCCCTTTAAATCTCTGTACCATATGAACAGGATGCATTATTTTAAAACAACAAATAAAATGAAGCACTAACAGCATGTAAATGATTTGTCCTGTATATATGTTACGTATGTATGTATGTATGTGTGTTTGTGTGTATACAGATATAAATGAGTTAGCAATTCCCTTTCCTCCCAGGCTGAGGAAGAGAGTCTTCTGGCGGCTGACTGTACCTGCACTTGGCCTCTTAGTCTTGCTCCTGTACTGGTTCCCTGCTTTCAGGTACAGCCTCCTTGCCCCAGCACCTGAGGTGGGACCACAGGGTAAGAGTTAAGGTGGATCTTTCCAAGTGTCTCCTCAAGAGAGGGAATGGGTGGCTAGCTCAACCTGGGCAAGTGTCCTTATGGGCTGTCCCTCCTGAGTGTGCCCCTTACTGCTGGCCCCACTTCACAGGCAGCTAGAAGTCCTAATCCCCATGGGTGTCTGCCCTTCAGCCACAATGGCCCTGCTGAGAGACAACTTCACAGGAGTCCTGCGACCATGGTAAGGTGCTATACCATTCCTTCCACAAACCTACAGAGCTCTGCCCCGTGTCCCTGCCCTCCCCTCATTCCCTACCCCACAGAGACAGTCTCTGCACCTACCAACCCCAAGTTCCCCACTGGGTCATATGCTTCCTAGTCCTCTACATCTCTGACTTGCTTCTGAGATAGGGGCTTTCAGAGGCAGGGACTGGTCTGATGCACCTGTGGGTGCCTAAGGCCCAGCACTAGGGAGGTGGTAGTGAGTATGCACTGAGTGGGTGGTGAATGGAGCTGTCTCTCCATCCCTGTTCTGGCCAGGGACCGACCTGACGTCCTGACCTGTACCTCTTGGAAGACTCCCATTATTTGGGATGGCACCTTTGACCCAGACATAGCCCAGCAAGAGGCTAGACGGCAGAACCTCACCATTGGACTGACTGTCTTTGCTGTAGGCAGGTAAGGCCTGGGGAAAGCAGTGGCGCTATACAGGTGGGGACTGGGAGGGGTATGCATGTGTGCAGGGATGTGTGACGTCCTGTTCCCCGTAGCAAGGAACCTAAAGTGCACCCCTTGTCCCTGACACCGAAGGTGAACACAAGAGTATCTTCCTCCCCCATCCCTGGACATCAGTGCCAAAGAGCCCACCCAGCATAGGCAGCAAGGGGCTCAGGACTGTGTCCTAGAAGAAACCTGCCTAGGGGCTAGGGCTGGTCCACTAGGTTTATGGTAAGGAAATGATGGAGTTTCTCAGGTGAAAGCAGGGAGAAAAAGGGGAGAGCAAATGGGTAAACAAAGGGAATAAGGTGCTTACTGGAGGTCAGCGGCCTAGCCACAAGCAGAGTGGGTGTGGTGACATTCTGCCTGGGAATTCTGGTGGAGGAAGAGGGACTAAGGACAAAAAAAAGTTTGCGAGAGAGTGAATCTGACCTGGGTAAAGAGGGATGGGAGTTGGCAGGTACTGAGAAGTGGCAGGATTAGAGGACTTGGTGAGGCAGGACTGATGGGTGGGAACAGAGTAAGTGAGCTGAAAGAATGGGTGGCTCACACAGTGGTACAAATGAGGCTGCATTTGGGAAGGTGGGACACTGATGATGACAAGGACAAGGGAGTGGCCACAGAAGCAAATGACTGAGGAGGGTGGAGGACAGAATCACTGCAAGAGAGAAAGTCAGTAAGGAACTGAAGGCCCCAGGCAATGGATGGGGTTTCAGGTATGGGGAAGGGTGGCCAAAGAAGAAATGACAGGTGCACTGACCTCCCCACTGTGGATAGGAGGAGGATCCAGGATAAATGGCCAAGCTTTCAGAAGCAATGCAAAGAAGACTTCTGGGTAGGCAGTCAGGCCTATGACCCTAAGGCACAAAGATGTACAGTCCTGGGAAATAAAGGAAGTGTTTCTAATGCTAGGATAGCCTGCTGTGGAAGGTAGTGAAGAAAAAGATATCTGAAATGCTGGAGAAGGAATTTTGTCACCAGATACCTGAGACAACTGCTCAAGGCTTCTCAACTTTGTCCCCCAGACTCTAGAAGGGCAAAAAGGCCAGGAGGGTAACTGAGAAGCAAGGGGACACAAGACCAAGGGCTGACCCATGGACAGGTGGGCAGAGGTGCCGTGCCACTTGAACCTTGGTCTTTCCCAGGACCTCAGTCCCCTCACTTCCACTAAGGATGCCAAGGAGTGTTCCTGCACCAGCCCTAGGGTCTTCAGTCTCCAGGAACTAAAATTCCAGGATCCTGAAGTCCTGAGTTCCAATCCTCTGTGATGCTGAGGTCTCCAAGATCTCTAATTCCCATTTCCCACAGTTCCACAAGGAACAGAGTGAAGGCCCCAGACTCCAACACCAAGCTGGGTTCAATCCTGGCTCTACCATTTACCAATTATATTGCACATCTTATTAGAGCTCTTTAAATGAGATAATTCATGTTGGCTTAAAGGAGCCACAAGAAAAATGTTCAAAATATTAGACATTCTGACATACTAGTATCCCAAGTTCTAGTAATAGTTTCCAGTATTCCAAGCACTCTGGTTATCTACGAAAATTACTTCAAAGTCGATCACTTTAAATGACTAATTATTCTTGTAGCTTACCATTTTGAGTGTCAAGAATTCAGACGGGGCTCAGCAGAAAGGGCTCCTCATTGCTCCAACATGTCAGGGTCTCAAGCGGCAGATAAATGCTGAGGACCCGAGGTGCACCTCTCCCTCTACCCAGCCTCTCCCAGCTACCCTGGGTCTCCTCACATCATTCTCTTATATGAAGGCTCGCAGTAGGAAAGAGGCAGATGCTGCCAGCCCTCAAGGCCCAGCAGAGACATTCTATTGGTACTGCATGAATTAGGGCAGTCAAAGGAAAGCCCACTCCAAGGGAAAGTACACAGCGGACCCTCTCTTCAGGGCAAAAGTGGCAAACATGTTGCAAGCACATCATGGTGAAAAGTTCCAGGTCCGTCTGAGGTTTCAGAACTTCCATGCAGGTGTGGGCAGGACTCCAATGCGGGTCGGGTGAGGCAGGATGGCCAACCAGGATGACTTTGGCGGTGCCCACCCACCCGGCAGGTACCTGGAGAAGTATTTGGCGCGCTTCCTGGAGTCGGCCGAGCAGCACTTCATGGTGGGCCAGCGTGTGGTCTACTACGTGTTCACCGAGCAGCCCGCCGCCGTGCCCCGCGTGGCGATGGGCCCCGGCCGCCAGCTGCGCGTGGAGTTCGTGGCGCGCGAGCGGCGTTGGCAGGACGTGTCCATGGGCCGCATGCGCACGCTGCAAGAGGCGCTAGATGGGCGACTGGGCCGCGAGGCGCAGTTCGTGCTCTGCATGGACGTAGATCAGCACTTCACTGGCGCCTACGGGCCGGAGGTGCTGGCCGAGTCAGTGGCGCAGCTGCACGCCTGGCACTACCACTGGCCGCGGTGGCTGCTGCCCTTCGAGCGCGACGCGCGCTCGGCCGCTTCGCTGGCGCCGGGCGAGGGCGACTTCTACTACCACGCGGCCGTGTTCGGGGGCAGCGTGGCGGCGCTGCGCCGGCTGACGGCGCACTGCGCGCGCGGCCTTCTGCTGGACCGCGCGCGGGGCCTCGAGGCGCGCTGGCACGACGAGAGCCACCTCAACAAGTTCTTCTGGCTGCACAAGCCCGCCAAGGTGCTGTCGCCCGAGTTCTGCTGGAGCCTGGATGTCGGTAGGCGGGCAGAGATCCACCATCCGCGCCTGCTCTGGGCGCCCAAGGAGTACGCACAGGTGCGCACCTAGCGCCATCGCGAGGGCACCCCGCCCCGCCCAGCCGCTACCAACCCCTGCACCTTTGCCACGGTTCCAGGGACGCCCTTCTAGAAGCTGCACCGGCAGGTTGGAGGGCGGAGAAATGTTGGATGAAAGGAGCCGCGTGCCTGTTTCTCACTTTCACAGGCGACTGCACAGCAGCAACAGGACCTAGGGCAGGCAGTCTGTAGACCTTTGACCTCTGACCTTACTGAATTTGGCTAATGCCTCCAGAGCAGATATTTTAGCCTCACCTCAACCCCTCTTTTAAGTGAGAAGCCTGTGGCACAAACAGGGATGTTTGATCTCGGGTCATCGTGGTGTCAGCGGTGGAGAGCCAGTCCCACTGCTGGGGGAGGCGGGATCATGAACCACAGGGAGAAGCGCGAAAGGCATCCCTGTCATGGACTCTTTCTACCTCTCCTGCCCATAAACAGGGAGTCGGTAGGTATCTGTATTGAGTAATTTTTTTTTTTTTCTGTACTGGAAGTCAAACCCAGGGATATTCTGCCAAGTACTCCTGCCTCAGCCTCCCAAGGTGCTAGGTTCACAGGCATGTGCCCTGTGCCCACCTTTGAGTAATCTTATAATAAATTGTTGCAAAATTGTCTTATGGCCTTTTTTGGTAAAGAGTCAGTGACTGCAAAAATGACATTTCCTGGCCTCAAGCTGGTAGGGCAAAGTCTGACCACCTCACCATATCTGTAAGGTAAGTTCCTTCATCCATGCCTTCCCTCCAGACTCATTTTCCCACCAGGAAAAACACAGGCTCTGAGTAGAAGCCAGAAGTACTCAGGCCCTCCAGGAAGCCCCAGATAATTTCCCTGAAACTGAGGCTCTGAGGAAGTGAGATTTCATTGTGAGTCTCTTAAATCCTCTGTGTAGTATTCACACTGGCCTTCTATTTTTAGCAGTCTTCACTGTTCCCAAGCGTGGTGGCCATACCAGCTATTTACCTGGCCCAACCATGATGGTTTTCACAATCTGGTAATTTTTACAAACAAGTTCAGATATTGATGATGTGCTATAGGAGGAATCATTCCTTCAAAAGCAGTTTGAAGTTCCTCAGTGACTTCTACCTAAACTAGGTGAGCAAAACCTAGGTCTTTTGGAGTCTGGATGAGAAACAAAATAGGCAAGTTGTACCCAAGAATAGCTCTTTGCTGGCTGTGAGCTGGCACATGCCTTCCTCTCATGGGATGATGTCTGTTTCACCTTACCCGGAAATGTTTACCAATTATAACCCTATGGCCTCAGGAACCTGACCGCCAGCCAGTGAGATCTGTATGTGAACCTGGCCCTCATCTACTTGTGTGTGTCGTGAACCAGTTCCTTAGTTGTGCTGAGCCTGTTTTCTCACATGTAAAATGGGGACACCAGTGGTCCTCTTCGCCATGATGCTCCAGCTCACACCTTGCCCCCTCCTCTGCTTCCTTTGCTGCAAATTCTTGGGGTGCAAGGGATTCACCAGAGAATATCGGTTTCCTGTTTTATAGGGGAATAATGGCATGTTTGGGAGTGTGCACGTCTCCAGTTCTGAGCAGCTGTGTGCTGCAAAGGAGACCTTCCCGAGGAAGGAAAGGGGTTCAAGGAAGCTCAGGGTGGAACATGGTAGGCAGACTACAGAATGGCTCCCTTCTGTAGAGCCCACAGGCCTAAGGAAGGGGTGGGGGCTATAGGTGACTTGGGCAAAACTGAAACAAGAAAAAACTCCCTCTGCAGCCACATCCATAGTCTTCGTCATTGCTCCCAGCACCTGTCTTGGACCCATAGGGACAAGGATGTTCACACACACACCCCTCCCCCAGGTGATCAGATGAAAATCAGACTCTCAGTTCTGAGTGTCATTGCTGCATGCAAAATCTCCTGTCCCAGGGTGAGGGATTTAGCTCAGTGGTTCTGCTGCCTGCCTCGAAAGCAAGCGCAAGGACCAAAATTCAATCCCCAGTACCAAAAAAAAACCCAAAAAACAAAAAACTTCCTGTCCCAGGTGCCCCACCCTCCCAGGCCAGCTCAGATGCCACCCCAAGAAATTCCTGCACATCTTCACCTACCTTAAGGAACACTAATTGTTATGGTTTATATCTAGATGTTCCCCCAAAGCCTCATGTGCTCATAAGTGGGGCTTTTCGGAGCTTGCTGGATCTAGATTCTAAGGTGTGGGATTCTAGGCCCTAGATCTAAGGTGTGTGACACTGGGATTAAGGGCATGTGATACTAAATTAGTATACTGATTAGAATTAACATAGCTATGGGTATGGCTGAATGGATTTACTGAAGGCAGAAGTTCCACCCTGGGTGTAGCCTGGATGGAATAAAAAGGGAAAGGTAGGCTTGCTGTCTCCTGCCTCCAACCCCATGGACCGTTTCTCCTCTGCAGTGTCCCTCTGTCATGCCACCCTGCCTTGGAGCAAGTCGACTATGGGCTGATGCCTCTACAGACTGTGAGCTAAAATAAACCTTTCCTCCTTTACTTTGTGAGTGTTAGGTATTTTGTCTCAATAATGAAAAAGTAAGACACTGACCATAACATGAATCCACTAGGGCTAAGTCAAATAACAACAATTAACAATAACAATATGTACATTACTTACTATGGGGCCGAGGGTTTAGCTCACTGGTGCCGCCGCCTACCTCACAAGTGCAAGGTCTTGAGTTCGATCCCTGGTACCAAAAAAAAAAAAAAATATATATATATATATAACTTACTATGTGCCAGGCACAGTTTTGAACCTTAGATATGTATTCACATAATCTTCAAAAAATGGTTACTATTATTTGCCTCATTTTACATAAGAGGAAATCAGGCACGAAAAGGTTAAGTACCTCAAAATCATATCAGTAGCAACAATTTCATGGATGCCAGAACAGGAAATTAAACATAGCCAGAGGATGAAGACTGGGAGTTGGGAACAGAGGTTACCACTAGCTTTTAGTCTCCTCTATCCATTTCTTTTTGTCTCTGCCTCTTATTCTGCAGGTGTCTGACTCCACGGCCACTCTGGCTCACCATCTCTTAACTGCCTTGTTCCTGATTCATGGAGTGGAGAACCTGACTAGAGAGGGGTAGTTTCATCCAGTGGTGTGCTAGTAAATGTTTAGCAACCGACTCGTCAAAGAAAATCCCTGATTTGTAGGGTATGCCATTTGCTATGGAATAAATCCCATCGTGGCGGATGACAAGCTACCAACACTCACTGTGGGTGAGTGGGAAAGAGGCAGGTGTGCACAATCTGCTCTTATGAGCCGGGACAGCTACTGCACACCACTGGCTGGAGTCACTGGGTCAGACATCCATCTCTGACAATTCAGGTGGGGCTGGGATGGGGTCATGTGACATCAATATTCCTGCCAGAGCCCCTCTTCCTGGCATAGCAGGCCATGGGAGATCAATTTAGAGAAAGAGATGAAGCCTGTGGCATTACTGAAAACATCCTGATTCCAGGCTACCCCACATCCATTCTCCTTTCTGATGGTAGCACCCTTTTGGGAGATGTACACCAGACAGGGGCTTCATTCTGCTCCAGTATAGCACAGGCCTCAGGTCCAAGCCTAACCAGCACACACCTCACCCCATTCAGAACCAGGGAGACCCGAAGAGACTTGTGCTGGGCTCCTGGCAGGACAGGATGGCAACCTGGGAGCTGTGAGGCTGCAGTTGATCCCACAGGAGCCCAAGGATGCCTCTGACTCAGAAAAGAGCCAGGTAGACAGCTGAGACACATCCTTAGAGCCCTGAACCTGACTTTACATCAGCCAGTAGATTCACATGTGGGAAATTGTAGTTATCTAGTTGTAAGAATACGATCACAAGAAGTTTGTTAACAGAAAATTAAGAAGTCGTTTCTAGGAATTTCCACAAGTCTGTTTGTTAAAAGAATTCCAGGAAACTTTAAGAGATGTTGTAAAAGTTTTACAGGAGAAAAACATGTTTTCCTAGCTTTCTTAGTAACCATTGTCCAGGTTCAGAGGACTGCGACCCAATGACTCTACGGGTGGTGAGAGAGATACAGTTCACTATGTACATCTGTGATGTTTGCAGTGGGCCAGTGGGCTTGACTTCTGCTGAGGTCGCCCTGCTTTCTTGATACCGTCTGATAAGAAGAGGGCTGCAGTGTGCTCTTAGATGTACAGGATTGGTGAACGGAAACGAGGGACTTGTAAATTCTCCTGTAGCTTTTATGAGTCACTTAGAGTCACTTGTTATCACCAGATGTTAAAACCAAAAAGACAATAGTCAGAATAATTAAGCTGATTTCTTATATGTATAAAAGCCTTACCTCTTTGTGATTCTCGAACAGTGTCAGAAGAATAAACTGCTGTTCGTCCCCCAGCCTGTCTCCTTTTCTTTCTTTAAAGGTCGGTGCTCTCCAGGGTCTCTGGTCTCCCTCTAGAGAGACCACTGACATTCTCATTTTAATTGGACTTCCTGTCACTTGCAAAGAAGCCTGGACAGAAGACTGTGAGGGCTCTGGGGAATGCACTCCCAATGACAACTCCATAGTGACTCATAGCGGTCACTTGTCTCCCAAGATGCTCCCACAGGGACAGCCCTGATGAACCTAGGGGGTTAATCTCTGCATTACCCTCCTAGAAAAAATGGTGACCCCCTCCCCCCTTTCAAGGAGATAAATGTACGTGAAGGGGGCCTCCTGGGCCTGTCCCCCAGCCCCAAACACCAGAAAAGCTTCTACAAATCAGACACTCGTGAGGGACCCTTAGAGGCCGCTCCTTGGGAAGCGGGGGAGGTGAGACTCATGGATGAACCTGTATATCAGAGCTAGACAAGCCTGGTAAACATGTGTCCCTGCCACTTAACTGCAGCCTGACCCTCAGCACAAAGCACTTGGTCCCACATCTGGGTGAGGCTAGCCCACAGCAACAGCCATCTCCTTCCTTCCCAAGTCTGAGATGGGGAGGGGAGAGGAGCTGTGGGAAGGTGCCCCAGCCCCGCTCCCGCACGCAGCACGGCACACCACACCACACACCGCTGCCACCCGGGTGCAGGTACAGTTTATTCTTCACAATAGAGAAATACAAAGAGCAGAGGGGTTGTAATTTCTTTGTTTCTTGCCCCCTTTAGTGTTCTTCCCCCACATTGATTTTTACTTTGCTCCCCGTTTTTTTCTTTTTAATAGAATGCAAACTTTTCTCCTGAAGTGTTGGAGTGGCACCTGCCCTCGCCTCCCTGCCACCAAGATGCAGACTGAGAAGCCAACAGACTGTTTTCTCTTTTTTAATAACTAGTTCTAAATATGGTGGCCTGGAGGTCCCATAGAAAAAAGCAAAGGGGTGTTAACAGTATGTATAACAGCATATTTACAGGGTAGTAACATGCGGACGAAAAGCTACAATACTGAGTATCAGACAAGTCAAACAAAGGGGTGGGGGTGGGGCAGAGAACCCCGTGGGAATAGAAACCCCAGGAAAGTTAAACTGGTAAATCAATGGCGAGTTAAGGCTTAAAAAGTGTATAAAAATAACAGTTAATATTCAAAACGGAACTCGAGATACAGAATATATAGATGAGTTTCTGTCTAGTTTTCTTTTTTTTTTTTCCCGGGGGGATGTGGAGGGGCTTTTCCGGGCTCTGTACATGGTTCCTATATACATGGACACGCATGGCTTTCAGATTGGGGATGTCTGTGGGGGCCATCCGGGGGCAGGGTCTGCTCCTGGGACCCTCCTCCTGGAGGATCCCTTCCCTGCTGAGGGGCCTGGTGCCTGGGCTGGGATTCCCGTTCCATGGCAGGGAAGACAACCCCTCCCTGGGCACTGTTCCCATCTGGAAGAAACTCTGGAAGGGGGTCCTAGTCCCAAGCCCATCCTCCCCATGCCCCTGCCCACAGTCTGGGGTGGCAGAGAGGTAGCCGATAGGTTTCTTGGCCAGCACCGAGGTAGCCTGGGGTGGTCGTCAGGGTCGTGGGGGAGGGGCCGGGTCTTACCCAACCCTCCCCTCTCCCCCGTTTTCCTGGGCCTGCTGTCCAGCCCTTCTCTGCACCCTTTTGGTCCTGCTGATCTCCCGGCCCCTCTTGTTGCCGCCTCCCAAAGCCTGGACAGCCCTGATAGCTGCCACATCCTCTGCTCAGTGAAGCCCAGGGCACAGCTCAGACGGTATGAACTGAGCACCCAGGGCCGAAGGGCTCACTTCAGCTGCCTCCTGCCCGCTCCCTCCTTGGGTCCCCTTTGCTGTCCAGAACCCCAAGCCTGAGCTTTCCCTCAAGACCCGAGGCCATGGCCAGAGAAGGTCCCACGCTGCCCTCTGGTTCTCTGCATCCATCTGTCCGGTTCTTTTAGTTTCTCGGTCTTAGCAGCACCAACATCCTGGCCAATAAATATCTCTTTTTTTTGTTATTTCCAAAAAAAAATTAAAAAACAAAAAACAGTGAAGCAAGTGAAGGGTGGGGAACAAAAAGAAAACCCAACAGACAGGTACAAAGTGCTCTGAGATCGTCTTTGGATGCCACCAAAACAGTCCAGGATCTTGCAGTTGGCCTGGCTGACCCAGGAGTTGAACCAGGCAGGGCTTCTGCGGACCAAGCTTCCTGGCAGGCTGGGAAAGTCATGAGAGAGCTCGGCGGTTCCTGGAGGGCCCCCAGTGGGAGTCGGGGCCTGGTGCTGCCTGGGTCTGGGTCTGCCAGTGGGCCGGGCAGGGCAGCGCCTCAGGTAGGCTCAGATGAGGGAGATTCGCACCGGGATGCCGGGAGACTCCGTCCTCTGGGGCGAGTGATGGCTCACCAGGTGCTCCACCACCGTGTGTTTGGACATGTGCTTCATCAGGTAGGTCTCCTGTGGGCAGGGCAGAACATGGCACCACTGTAAAGGCAAGGAGGCTGCAGTTCCCACAATCGGCCACTAGAGGTGGAGGGGCTTGCGCATCAGTTTTGAGGACACTGCTATCAGGGTGAGCTCTAGCTGCCTTGCCAAGTCTGACCCGGCAGATTGCTGGCTGGGGAGCTGACCAGCACCAGCCTGGCACTCAGCAGGGCCCACCTACGACTCTCCAGAGCCAGGCCAGCAGCCTTTCACCAACTGGGTGTGAGGGGTGTACCGGCTGGGTCTCAGCCCTGCGTGCCGGATTTGGCACAGTGCCCTGCCTCTGGCTGGGGTTCCCAGTGACGGTGCCACAGAGAGTCTGGGCTTGAGACTAGTTGTGCCATTTCTCAGCAGCAGGACTTATCCTGGACAAGTCATCTTATCCCTCCATGCCTCAGTTTCCTCCTCTGTCAGCAGGAATGGGAAAGGACTGCTATGGTGAAGTGCCCTGAGAGTGAAGGGGACCACTCCCTTCCCCATTTCTACACCTCACTGCAGGTTAGGTGGAGGTCTGGCCTCTGCACCCCTCATTTAAACCTGCTGGGGGTGAAACTGGCCTGAGCCCCGCACTGGCTCTGCTAAGTCTATCCCGAGGCAGCAGAGCTGGGTAGGTGAGTGGCCCTGCTCACTGCAGGCCCACTGGCTTCCACTCAACCACATCCTCCACGGCTCTCCAGGTACAAGGTGGCACTCTGGGTTCCCAGCTGCCATACCTCAAGACACTACAGTCCTCAAATGTGGCGAGGGGCTATTGCACGATACCAGAAAAAGGGTAATTAGCAACGTCCAAGCTAGGACACTATTCTTCAGGGAGTACACAGCAAAGAGTGGGGGCTAGAGATTAAAAGAGACATCTACAATGTAGGAATCTTAGGCTCTGGATTTAAAAATAATACAGGAGGGCCAGGGATTTACCTCAGTGGTTCTGCCGCCTGCCTTGCAAGTGCAAGGTCCTGAGTTTGATCCCAGTACCAAAAAATAAATGAATAAAAATAAAGCTATACTGGAAATAAATAAAACTATAGCATCCAAGGGACAAACTAAAATGTCAATGCTGACAGGGTGTTTGATAATGATAAGGACTTTTGTTATTTTAAGGTATTATAAAGGTATTGTGGGCATGTCCATAAAAAGAAGTCCTTATCTTTACAGACATAAAGTCAAGTGTTTTTGTTTCGCTTCCTGTTTGTTTTTGTCGTACATTAGCCCATTTTCTCCCACAAGGCACCCCAATTCCACTAATTCCTATACTTGTACTAATTGAAACAATTAGCCTCTTGGGATTGAATGCAGGCCCTTCACATTCCCAGCCCTTCTTTAAGTGTTTTGAGACAGGGTCTCTCTAAGTCAAGAAGTTGCTCAGGCTGGGCTAGAACTTGCTGTTCTCCTGCTTCAGCATCCCAGGTGTTGGAACTATACTGGTTTACAGTGAAGTTTTTCCAAGTGAAATGATAGGACATCTGGGTTTTTAGTTCAAAAACGGATATGAAGTCCAGCATGCAGCACACGCCTATAATCCCAGCATTCTCGGAGGCTGAGGCAAGAGGATCACAAGTTTGAGTTCAGTGTGGGCTACATGGCAAGTTCAAAGCCAGTATGGGCTCCAAGACAATACCTTGTCTCAAAAAAAAGGAGCCGGGGATTTAGCTCAGTGGTTCCAGCGCCTGCCTTGCAAGAGCAAGGTCCGGAGTTTGATCCCCAGTACCAAAAAAAAAAAAAAGAAGAAGGAGTTTAAATAAGGCAGGACCGGTTGATGGTGACAGGATGTATTGAAAGCCTGGGGGGCTCCCCCACTCTCTGTGGCCCTTGTCCTCCATGTTCTGTCCTCATTGTCCATCTCTGAGCTCTCCTCTGCCCCTTGGACTTCAGGGAAGGATAAATGTCACATACTCAGCCCTTAGCAAGCAGGAGCCCTGGCTGGTACCTCACAAGCACTGCCAATGGCCCCATAACAGTCCCTGTGCCCCTGCATTGGAGACAGACCTTCCAGGAACACCCTCCCCCAAGTCTTCTCCTGACTCTTCCCATTCCACATAAAAGAGCATCCAGACTCTTTACAGGGTCCTGAAGCCTGTGTGACCTAATTTTCTCTCAATTCCTACTACTCAATTCCTACTCTCTCAATTCCTACTACTCAATTCCTACACACTCCATTTGTTCCACCCAGGGAGCTTACACTTGCTGAGCCCTGCATGGAAGGTTCTTGCCCCGTCTTGCTCCTCATCTAATGATCCTTCGAGGTTTCACTGAAATATCCTGGTATAGTTTAGCTCTGGGATGTCCTCCAAAGGCCCAGGTGTTAAGGCTTGGTCCCAAGGCCATGGTCCTATTAGAAAGTGGTAGAGCCGGGGATTTAGCTCAGTGGTTCCACTGGCTGCCTCGCAAGCATAAGGTCCTGAGTTCGATCCCCGGTACCAAAAAAAAAAAAAAAAAGCAAAGAAAGTGGTAGAACCTTAAGAGGTGGAGTCTCCTGAGAGGAAGTTAGCCACAGGGAGGTGAACGCTTGAAGGGGATAATGGGGCCCCAACTGCTTCCCTTTTTCTTCATTTCCCAGCTGTCATAAGCTGTGCAGCTTATTCTACCACATTCTCCCAGCATGCCGTGCTGCGTCATCACAGATCCAAAACCAACAGGGCCAATGGCCTATGGACTGAAGCCTCCAAAACTCTAAGCCAAAACAAACTTTTCACCTTTTCAAGTTAGCATCTCAGGTATTTTGTCACAGTGACAGACAGCTGACTAACACAAGGCCTTTCCTCAGATGCCCTCTCTTCCCAAATCCATTTTGTTCCCTCTGCTGTTGTCTCTCAAAACATACTTTTCCTTCAGAGCAGTGTGGTTCTCAATCAGAGACCATTTTGCACTCAGGGACACCTGGCAATGTATGAGACATTTCTGTTGGTCCAACTTGGGGAGGGGGCTGCTACCGGTACCCAGTGGGTAGAGGCTGTGGATGCTGCTTAGCATCCTACTAGGCACAGACACCGCCCTACAACAAAAGGTATCCTGCCTGTGTCAGTAAGGACTAACCCTGAGAAGCTGCTTTACAGTAAGGCCCACATTTGCCTTTAAACACTTGGGTGGGTGATTACTTGTTTCACACCTGTCCCCAATGGCGTTTCTAACCTCCCTGTGGGCAAAACATGTCTAGTTGGATTCTCCTAATTCCTGCACACCTGCCATGGTGTTCAGGCGGCATCAAGTAGTTAAGCTGTTATACGAGGTAAGGTTTATCTGGCTATGCTCTGCCAGCCAGCAGCACAATGAGTCAATCCATTTGACAGATGAGGAAACAGGTTCAGCAATCTCTAAATTGAGTATGAGGGTCTGTTAACCAGAATATTTGAAGAACCAGAAGCACACATACAAGTGACACACTTGGGTGCCCAAAGGCCTTCATTTGAGGAATTTTCCCACCCTGGGACAGGGGCTGGACACAATGACCTTTCTGGTGCTGTTCAAGGCTTTGCTCTGATGAGGATGGCTCTGGGCCAGGTCACTGTGCCACCTTGTGGCCATGATGGGTACTGCAGCTGTCCCACGGCACAAGACCATTGTGTCTCCCAGGCTGAAGAGAGCAGGTCTCAGGACCCCACCCCTGCCTTGAGAAGCCCAGGGCCCCAGGAACCTTGGCTAAAGGTAGGCAGGAGGCAGGGAGCCCAGCTCAGCTCAGCAAACACGGAAGGAGGACACAGAAGCCCTGGCTGTGCCATTCCCTGTGATCTTGGGGAGTCACTTGCCCTTTTGGGCAAGTTCCTGTCAGGCAAGTGGGGAGTCAGTATGAAGCTAGAAGGAGGAAGAGGAGATGGCGGCTGGGCCCTGGTGGCACTCACCGAGGTGTAGGCCCGCCCGCACATGCTGCAGCAGTAGGCCTTGGCATGCTTGATGGCGTGGGCTGAGAGGTGGATCTGCAGGGACGCTGAGTCCGAGTAGGCCCGGTAGCAGTTGGGACACTTGTAGGGCTTGTCCTTGTTGTGCTGGCGCTGGTGAGACTGTGGGGAGCACAGCAGGGCTCGGAAGGTGGGGAGTCCTTCCCTAAACCCACCCCTTCTTATGCTCCCTGAGGGGCGGGAGGAGGGAGGTACTCACCTGGAGGTTGGAGAGCTGAGTGAAAGCCTTTTCGCAGCCAGGGTGTGGGCACTTGTAGGGTCTGTCACCTGTGTGGATTCTGCAATGGGCAGCCCAGTGAGGAGGGGTCCCCGACATGGACCTCTAGACCAGTTCCGGGCCCAAGCTCCTGGCTCACCGGGCTATACCTCTGCCCCTAGGCTGCTCAGCCCCCACCCACGCCCTCTCTCCAGTGGCTGAGAGTGAGTCCAGGCAAGAGGACTTCAAAGGTCACCATCTTCCCTCCCTTCTCTGGCCTCCACTGCCAGTCTGATCAAAACCTCCCCACTCCTCCCCATAGATCCCTGCTGCACCCAGCCCACTCCTAGCACCCACTCAGAGACCACAGCAGCCTCCAGCTAATCCCACAGTACTTGCTTGGTCTGCCTCTCTTCGAAAACTCCCACTTTCCAGAGCTCCCGCTGAAAAGAAGACTCACAGTAGTGTTGGGACCTTCCCTTTCCATCCTGCCTCCTTCCCTGAGGAGACTTCTCCCTTGAATTAGCCCCCAACTCCTATTTCCTGTCCTCTCTCCATGTCAGGCACATGTCCATGATGGTAACAGTCACCCTAGTGACAGAGAATGCAGAACAGTGTGGCCCTGAAACTCAGCCCCTCTGAGTCCTTGCTGGGAGCTCCTTCTGTCCTCAAATTCCTAAGTTCTCATCCTGGATCTGCTCTCTACTAGCTGGGTGACCTTGGGCAAATCACTGAGCATTAGTTTCCTTATCTGTAAAATGGGTACACGAAGCACAGTCCCCAACTCACTAGGCCCTGTGAAGATTACATCAGGTAACACATTTAAGGGCCTCAGCCCAGTGTTGGCACAGACAGCATTCAACAGATGTTTGCAGGTGTTGTTACTGGTTCACTCAGCCTTTGTCACATCGGCATCTGTGTGCCAGCACCACGCTAGGATTGGGAATGTATCATGAACTAAACAGACACAAACTACTGCCCGGTAGAAACAACCAATAAGCACAAAGTGAATAAGTAAATCACACGGAGAAGGTAGTGAGTGCTGTGGGAAAAAGTAGAACAGGTGAGGGACCCTGTGAGTGCCATGGAGGAGGAGGGCAGTTTGAAACAGGGTGGAGGGGAGGGCCCCATTGAGCAGGTGACATTGGATCACTGATAACAGCTGATAAGGCTGATAACAGCTGCTGCTTGTCCAACAGCCTAGGTGAAGACAGAGCCTGGATGGAGCAGTGACTTCGGTGAGTGGTGCTCAAGGGTCTGCATGTGCAAATGGGTGGTTTTCCTGCATGCCACACCCAGCCCTGGGTGGCTCCCAGCTTGCTGATTCACCAGCCTGGCAAATCCTTTGCCAAGCAGGCAGGCAGCCAAAGACCAGCAGGGCCAGAACCCGGACAAGCATTAAGTGAAGGGTGAACCCAGATGTGGCCAAGTGGTGCCCTCTCCTTCCCTACAATGCCCAGACTCACAAGTTGGCAGCCAGGGTCTACTGTGCCCACCATCTAACTCATCAAAGAAACGAAGGCCCCTCTAGCCAGGCCCAGCACTGGACTCAGGGACACCCAGGGCTCCTACAGAGTCCAAATTCCCGCGTGTCACTCAAGCCCTTCCTCCGGTGGTCCAGCCTCACCTTCTAGCTCTGAAGTACCCATGTCCGGGTCAGGACTGCTATCTAGCAACTGCATTTGAGGATTCTGCCCCTCACCCCTCTACTCTGCCACACCCCCTTCCTTTCATGTGCCAGCGCCTCCTTCCCAGCCATCACAGAGCCAAGCTCTGAGGAGTCTCCCCGAGAAAGTTGCTCACCATCCCACCTCTGGCACCCCAAACCCCTGCACATCACAGCTCCTCCTCGCAGCGCTTACCCTCCGATTCTCAGGGCCTCCCGGGTGTCTCCTCTACTAGATGGGGAATCCTGAGGGCCCCAAGACTGCACCCGGATGTGCCACGTGGAGCTGAGCCATTCCCAAGAGCCTCTAACTACCTGCACGTCCCCTGCACATTGGGGTCACCTTGGGGACAGCACCCCAGACCACTGCTTGGTTTCTGCAGTGGAAGGACAGGAAGGTTCCAGCTCCATCTGATGCCAGCACCCCCTCCCTTCCCACCTCCCTCATTTCCCTCCAGGGCTGGGGAATTTGGTTGGGAGCAGGCGGCAGAGGAGCCTAAGGGTCCCCAGGACATGCGCTGCTCTGATTTAAACCCCACAACGGCCTCCCCCGGAGTCCTCTCCTCCTGCTGTGCTCAAGACCGTCCTCGCCATCCCCACCCCCTGGATCCCACCAGCAACTCTGGCATCCTGGACTCTCCTCCTCCTCCTGCCCTCTCTCCAGGCTGTTCCCTCCACCAGGCACACTGTTCCCTCACCTTCTACCTGCTAAGCCCACTCTCCAATGCTCAAGATCCAAGTCTCTTCCCCAGACAGCCTGCCCTGACCTCAGGTACTTCTGTCAATGTCTGCTCAGTGTTTTCTTGGCTGCCTTCCTGAGCACAAGAACTCCTTTGCTCTCCTTTACCACCATCATCACCCCAGTGCGTGGCATAGGCCTTGCACAGAGAGCCTCAATAAACAGCTACAGACTGCACCAAAAAAGGGAGTTTCATCTTTCTAAAGTTACTCACTGACAACAGAAACACGTTCATATAATTAAACTGTTCTTAAGGTATATGTCAGAAGCGTTTGTTGACTGAAAGACTGATCGTCTTCATGGATTTCAGGTCCTCTCTGAGGGACCCAGCCAAGTCCTCTTAACAACAAACTGCCCCCTCTGGCCTCCTCCCATCCAAGTGGACCATCTATCTGTATGGCCTCCTCCCTGGACCCTTACCTCAGTATCTGCAGCCTGACCTCAGTCACAGCAACAGCTACAGGTGTCTGGCCTGGTTGTAGCCCTGCTTGGCAACCTCCAGTGTCTCCCTATTTCTCCAGAACAGGGTCCCAAGCCCCTGCCCCAGCTTTCAAGGGCCTTTCACATTCTGACCTCTGTTTCTAAAACCCCCTGCCACTGCTTTCCTGGCCTGGCATCTCACAAGCGTCCCCTGACACATGTGGCACACGCTGGGACCCTGCTCCTGCCCTTCCCCTACCCAGAATGCCTTCTCCTCTAACTCAGGAGGGCCACGGACCCTTCAAGCTTGACCCTGATGATTCTCCCCAACCTCCACCTCATCCTTCCTTCTCACAGGCATTGCCACCTCGGCTAGCCTCCCACGTCACAGTGAGAGTCCCACTGGGCCAGGGCCTGCCTCTGACCCCGGAGCTGTCCCTGCCCATGCCACCCAGCATGGGACTGGCTCAGATCAGGCTTCAGAGAGTGGCCTCTGGAAGCAAGAGACCAGGCTGCCTGCTCCACTGGCTGTCCTGGAAAGTCCCTGAATTCCAAGTCAGCTCCAAGCCCTCCCTTCTCAAGGTGGAATCCTCCTCTGCTCCGGGACTCCTCCCACTAGGGGGCCCCCAGCCTCAGGTAGTAGTGAGGAAAGTCCTGAATCTGGTGCCCCAGACAGTTCCCCCAGCACCACTGCCTGAAGGCCTGGGGACCTCCGCCCGGATGTGAGCTCCTCCTGTAGCCGACATCCCTGCCCCTCCCGTCTTCCTGCAGCACCAGTCACTCACTCCTTGGCACAATGCCTCGGATCCCACTGTGCCACCTTAGCTGAGTGACCTTGGGCAGCAACTCTGCCTCCCTGAGTCCCAGTGTCCACCTCTCTAAAATGGGATGATAATAATAAAGATTGTAAGAACTAAAATGATCAGATGACTTTATATGGAGTGTTTATAAAATATTTTTGCAGTGTTGGTTTTTAACACACTAATTTCTATTTAAGGTATATGATTTATCTAAAACTATAAAGAGTTAATTTATTTGATGTTTAAATAAAATTAAGGATTCACTAGATAGACTAGGGGTTGTTATTCCAGTAACAGTAATAATAATAATAATAATAATAATAATAATAATAATGTTCCAAGTTGATTTTTATTTCTCAGGTATTCAGTATTGAATGGCTTTAGTCATCTTGTGCTTTTCAAGTAAAACCACAGTAGATACAGTGAAAGTTAACATTCCTCTAGATGACTCACTCTCTCAAGAAAAAAACAAATTTTACACTGTACAAGGACTTTACAGACACCTTGTATATTAAAGCACCTTATGTTGGGTGAGGCACAGGGAGCTCTTCATAAGGAACAGTTAGTGATGCTATTTATCACCATTATTATCATCACAAAACAAAAAAGGGTACTGCCCCCTGCTATGGTTATCATTACACATGGAGCTAACACCACACAACCAGGAAAAGAGAAACACGACGCACACTTTACACCTCGAATAAACAAACAAACAAATGCAGCGTCACTCTGTCTGGCACTAGGTTCCATGAACAGGTAAAACTTTGTGCTTTTTCCTATTATTTCCTAACTCCCTCCTGAAACAATTTTATCCCTGACATGTGCATTGTGCCATCTGCAGACATGTGATGACCTTTATACATATGCTAACTGCATAAGACCCCTGCTGTTTTTCCACCATGAACAGACTAACTAGTTTATTTTCTCCATAAATACATGTGGTATTTATTATTTAGTGGGCTGATCCTTCTGAAGTCTGGGCTTGTGCCATACTTCACAAGTCACCTACTTTTCTCTACATGTTATGCCTTCCTTTCTTCATGCAGGTCCTCTCAAAATTGCCCCTGGTCCACCAGTGCCACAAAACGACGACTCCCCAACAGTGGTCTCGGTCACATCATTCTCAACTCCTAGGGCAGACCTTGCACATCCCCTTTCTAACTTGCCTCTATCACTTGACCACAGTTGGCTCTGCTCTGGACATAACTTTCTTTTATTCCTTCATTAGTGGCTGTAACACTGGGAAGATGGATTTGATTAATTATATGATCTAAATGTCTGGTTCTCTCCCAAAAGAAAGAAAAATAGAAAAAGTTCTTTGTTGAATAGCAGAGGGCATGGAATTTGGAATATAGTTGTTCCTTTCGGTTTGGATTTTTTGTTGTTTGTTTGTCCAATGGATTCTGGGACTTTGGGCATTTGGGACACCCATCTCTTTGCCAGTGGTTAAACACATT